TGGAAAACAATATTTGTTTCACCCTTCACTCTCCCCTATACCACATTTCCCCGTGTTCCTCAGTCTCTTGACAAATGCTGCTGTTATCCTGCCTGCCAGGCATTAGGTCTCTGCTGCCTCTCCTGTTAACAGATACATCTAAATTAATCCACAGATGAAATATGGAGAAGGGCGGATTGGTTGCCGAAACGATCAATAGTGACTTAACTCAGCTTAGAAATTCCTGCCCAATTTCAGCGATTCAGCGGTTATAGTTTTTTGGCACGCCCTCTAGGGGCATGTAAGACTAGATGACACTGGTTTTCATAAATAGTGTAATTAGCTTGAACCCACTACCTCTACTAACAGATAAATGTCAAAACAATTCACTGTAATTCAGAACACACCGTGAAGCTTCCAACAATTGACAAGAAGGTCAGAGCAATTTTCCATAGACAATTTGGGTCCCGAGACAAAACCAGTTGAGAACCACTGCTCTAGAAGATAATTAGAGGTTAAAAATAGACCCTTTTCCATAAAAGCAAAAGGCCTTCAGGTCCATCCTCCTTTGCTATTAAAGTGATGATGCAGAACCATAATGATTGTGCTAATGATAACTTGTTGTGGACTAGGGCATCCATCGTAGTGTATATGCGGTGAGTGATTGGAAATACGCAGTTAGACAAAAGGCCAATGGTGTCCTCCCATATACCATTTATGCATTTGATTATTGCAATCACACATAGGCCTATGTGGGCACATACAGTGGGGAGAACAAGTATTTGATACACTGCCGATTATGCAAGTTTTCCTACTTACAAAGCATGTAGAGGTCTGTAATTTTTATCATAGGTACACTTCAACTGTGAGAGACGGAACCTAAAACAAAAATACAGAAAATCACATTGTATGATTTTTTTTTATTGCATGACATAAGTATTTGATACATCAGAAAAGCAGAACTTAATATTTGGTACAGAAACCTTTGTTTGCAATTACAGAGATCATACGTTTCCTGTAGGTCTTGACCAGGTTTGCACACACTGCAGCAGGGATTTTGGCCCACTCCTCCATACAGACCTTCTCCAGATCCTTCAGGTTTCGGGGCTGTCGCTGGGCAATACGAACTTTCAGCTCCCTCCAAAGATTTTATATTGGGTTCAGGTCTGGAGACTGGCTAGGCCACTCCAGGACCTTGAGATGCTTCTTACGGAGCCACTCCTTAGTTGCCCTGGCTGTGTGTTTCGGGTCATTGTCATGCTGGAAGACCCAGCCACGACCCATCTTCAATGCTCTTACTGAGGGAAGGAGGTTGTTGGCCAAGATCTCGCGATACATGGCCCCATCCATCCTTCCCTCAATACGGTGCAGTCGTCCTGTCCCCTTTGCAGAAAAGCATCCCCAAAGAATGATGTTTCCACCTCCATGCTTCACGGTTGGGATGGTGTTCTTGGGGTTGTACTCATCCTTCTTCTTCCTCCAAACACGGCGAGTGGAGTTTAGACCAAAAAACTCTATTTGTGTCTCATCAGACCACATGACCTTCTCCCATTCCTCCTCTGGATCATCCAGATGGTCATTGGCAAACTTCAGACGGGCCTGGACATGCGCTGGCTTGAGCAGGGGGACCTTGCGTGCGCTGCAGGATTTTAATCCAAGACGGCGTAGTGTGTTACTAATGGTTTTCTTTGAGACTGTGGTCCCAGCTCTCTTCAGGTCATTGACCAGGTCCTGCCATGTAGTTCTGGGCTGATCCCTCACCTTCCTCATGATCATTGATGCCCCACGAGGTGAGATCTTGCATGGAGCCCCAGACCGAGGGTGATTGACCGTCATCTTGAACTTCTTCCATTTTCTAATAATTGCGCCAACAGTTGTTGCCTTCTCACCAAGCTGCTTGCCTATTGTCCTGTAGCCCATCCCAGCCTTGTGCAGGTCTACAATTTTATCCCTGATGTCCTTACACAGCTCTCTGGTCTTGGCCATTGTGGAGAGGTTGGAGTCTGTTTGATTGAGTGTGTGGACAGGTGTCTTTTATACAGGTAACGAGTTCAAACAGGTGCAGTTAATACAGGTAATGAGTGGAGAACAGGAGGGCTTCTTAAAGAAAAACTAACAGGTCTGTGAGAGCCGGAATTCTTACTGGTTGGTAGGTGATCAAATACTTATATCATGCAATAAAATGCAAATGAATTACTTAAAAATCATACAATGTGATTTTCTGGATTTTTGTTTTAGATTCCGTCTCTCACAGTTGAAGTGTACCTATGATAAAAAATTACAGACCTCTACATGCTTTGTAAGTAGGAAAACCTGCAAAATCGGCAGTGTATCAAATACTTGTTCTCCCCACTGTACACACTTACACTGAAATACAGATAAATAAACAACTGCTTTCAGACAGTGACAAAAGGGATACCAGAAGCGCAAAACATAAATCCTATCTCCACCCACACATGTACATCTTCAAAGTTTAGTCAGCTCTTTCCTTAATTATATTCCAAACTCTCCTGCACACATCAATGAAACATTTTTGATTTGTAAAACCTGCATTTAAAGAACCAGGTAATCAGGCAGGAAAATCTGTTTTTGAGATGGAATTGGAGTATTTTCACCTATATCTGCATTAAAAACACAATGGGCTGTCATTGAATTTCACATATCTTCCACACAGATGCCTAAGGGGGTAAAGTGTTGTATGAACAGGAGAGTATTTTAGATTGACATTAATTAGTAGCAGACGCAGTAGTGTGGCTGATGTGTGTGTGGTGGCAGAGGGAGCAGTGGGATTGAAGTGGAGTGTATCTCTGTCAAACTCTTTCAAACGTGGCCTTGGCCCCTTGTGGCCGTCTTCAGACACACTTCACATCACAGCCACCAGGCGTGCAGTACGTTAGACAAGCGTCCCCCGACACCCTGCCAGACAGACATGTCAGAAATGCTGCCACTGGACGACACAAGATTAAGACCCACTGACCCTCAACACTGATCTTCGTCCTCTCATCTAGTCCTCTCTTCTCTTCTCTTCTCTTTCTCTTCTCTTCTCTTCTCTTCTCTTCTCTTCTCTTCTCTTCTCTTCTCTTCTCTTCTCTTCTCTTCTCTTCTCTTCTCTTCTCTTCTCTTCTCTTCTTCTCTTCTCTTCTCTTCTCTTCTCTTCTCTTCTCTTCCACTGTCTGGTAACCTACAAGTCTGGTTGCTTATCATTCCCTTGTAGAGAGAACCCCATGTTTAACTTAATCCTTTTTTAATGAAAACCATTAAAGTGGTGGCAAATTGATTTAAAACGTACACTGATATAATGATCTTTTTAAAATTCACTTTGTCCTCGCCAAGTTAATAGTGATCCATCTCGTTATTATTAAACTATTGTTGAGAAGTAATTACAGCCAGTGGATTTTACGTTAACTTAATAGTAGAACAGAATAGATTCTTACTAAATTCAATTACCACCATATTAGTATTTAATAAGAAGGGAAATGGCAGCAAACAGAATTAAGTATTCAAAAGAGCCGGTCAAGCATAAACAAGGCATAGACTGATAAGAACCAAACCCTGCTTAACAACAATAAACTGGGCTTGTCTATGAACACACAGCAGTGTAATTATGAATGAACTACCGTTAGGATTAGAGTTATTTTGTTTTGTAAGGTAAAGGTAATAAAATACACCAAATTCCAAAGTACCATCAAACTGCTGACTCTAATGCTCTAATGTGTAAGGCACCTATAAAATATAACCCCAAAAAAAGCAGAAGGGTCACAGAGGAAAGTTCATGAGAATGTTTGTCATTGCAGTTCCCTGTCAGGGTTGATTAACAGGCCATCTGTGCATCCTGATTCTGGTCTACAGATTTCCACAGCAGAGCAGAAGTGAAGACATTAACATGTCCACCACGCATTATCATGTCTAGCAATCACCATCCCACTCAGAGCCGTAGCATGACCGATTCTCCTCTAGAGCCTCTCATGTATTTGCATCCTAATGATTGTGTCCCCACAGATTAGTCTGTGATGATGGGATGTTTTAAGTCTATTTGTGATAGTGAACCATCCAGGCCACTCAGAATAACCCAAACCTAGGGCTAAGCATCCAGCTATTCTTAAAATAAACCAAATATAGGGTTAATTTGGTTACTTTTTCTGTGTGAGACTTGAACTCTGTTAGATGCCCAGTGAGTGTGGAACAAACCTCAATCAAACCCAAACATTTCACAGACCCACACCATCCGTGTGTTTCAGTCATTCGATGTGAACCTCTGAAGTTCTGCTGTACTTCAGCCCTCCCTCTCTCTCTTCGGTCCTTTTCTTTATAGACCCCACATCACAATCTCATTAGCATTAGCAAAGACATTTAAAAACTAAGGACCGTGGGTTTTTAACTGCAATGGCAACCAATAGTGTATTCACTTTTAATGCAGTTATTATATTTGCTGGCACTTAGCTCCTATAGCAACTCCATGGTGCTCTGCTGCAGTGAGACATTTCATGGATTCACATTATTACACGATACGCCCATTACCGAGAGAGCATGCTGTAAATGTAATGAAGCAAGAGCTTTTTATTGCCTTTGTGCTTTTGGCACCTGAGGTTTCAGTGGGAATGAGAGGTGTGTGGGTTTCTACTGTAGTATTTCCATGGGAACGAGGTAGACTTGTGTGTCTATGAAGTCTCTGCATGACCTTTGTTTTCATGTCTGAATGACAAACCAGGGTACAATGTAAGAGTATGAAGCTATGAAATCAGAAAACATTTATTTCTGTTGGTGCCTAAAACTTTCTGCCCACTCTTTACCATGATTTTAAGTGTACAGCATAAATATGGTACCCTATTTCCCAAAATGGGAATATGGCAGAGAGATGCATGCTAGTTGCCAGGTAGATTGAATGTCATTCACGCATGTGTTTTCTCCTTTCCATGACGGGCAGAAGGACGCCCCTTCCACAGCACCACATCTTGCATATCCTATAGAGGCCTTGAGACACACAGTCACAGGTCTGAAAGGTCCTTTTACCCTTCCATTGCTCTCGCTGCTCTGTGGAGATTAATGTGAGGCAGCGTTTAATCCAATCTAAACACTGAAACAGATTTCCCATATGCCCCTGTCCTCTCTCCTCAGTGAGCCTGTCACACACGGTTATTCTCAATGATTCCTGATGAGCCTGGCTGCAGATGAATCCCCTCTGTGTTTCATAATTGATGCCCGTGGATGGCGTGGAGGAGGATGTACAGTTGAAGTCGGAAGTTTACATACACCTTAGCCAAATACATTTAAACTCAGTTTTTCACAATTCCTGACATTTAATCCTAGTAAAAATTCCCTGTCTTAGGTCAGTTAGGATCACCACTTTATTTTAAGAATGTGAAATGTCAGAATAATAGTAGAGAGAATGATTTATTTCAGCTTTTATTTCTTTCATCACATTCCCAGTGGGTCAGAAGTTTACATACACTCAATTAGTATTTGGTAGCATTGCCTTTAAATTGTTTAACTTGGGTCAAACGTTTCGGGTAGCCTTCCACAAGCTTCCCACAATAAGTTGGGTGAATTTGGCCCATTCCTCCTGACAGAGCTGGTGTAACTGAGTCAGGATTGTAGGCCTCCTTGCTCGCACACGCTTTTTCAGTTAAGCCCACACATTTCTATAGGATTGAGGTCAGGGCTTTGTGATGGCCACTCCAATACCTTGACTTTGTTGTCCTTAAGCCATTTTGCCACAACTCTGGAAGTATGTTTGGGGTCATTGTCCATTTGGAAGACCCATTTGCGACCAAGCTTTAACTTCCTGACTGATGTCTTGAGATGTTGCTTCAATATATCCACATAATTTTCCTCCCTCATGATGTCATTTATTTTGTGAAGTGCACCAGTCCCTCCTGCAGCAAAGCATCCCCGTGCTTCACGGTTGGGATGGTGTTCTTCGGCCTTGCAAGCGTCCCCCTTTTTCCTCCAAACATAACGATGGTCATTATGGCCAAACAGTTCTATTTTTGTTTCATCAGACCAGAGGACATTTCTCCAAAAAGTACGATCTTTGTCCCCATGTGCAGTTGCAAACCGTAGTCTGGCTTTTTTATGGCGGTTTCGGAGCAGTGGCCTCTTCCTTGCTGAGTGGCCTTTCAGGTTATGTCGATATAGGACTCATTTTACTGTGGATATAGATATTTTTGTACCAGTTTCCTCCAGCATTTTCACAAGGTCCTTTGCTGTTGTTCTGGGATTGATTTGCACTTTTCGCACCAAAGTACGTTCATCTCTAGGAGACAGAACGCGTCTCCTTCCTGAGCGGTATGACGGCTGCGTGGTCCCATGGTGTTTATACTTACATACTATTGTTTGTAGGGATGAATGTGGTACCTTCAGGCATTTGGAAATTGCTCCCAAGGATGAACCAGACTTGTGGAGGTCTACACATTTTTTTCTGAGGTCTTGGCTGATTTCTTTTGATTTTCCCATGATGTCAAGCAGAGAGGCACTGAGTTTGAAGGTAGGCCTTGAAATACATCCACAGATACACCTCCAATTGACTCAAGTGATGTCAATTAGCCTATCAGAAGCTGCTAAAGCATGACATCATTTTCTGGAATTTTCCAAGCTGTTTAAAGGCACAGTCAACTTAGTGTATGTAAACTTCTTACAAACTGGAATTGTGATTCGGTGAATTATAAGTGAAATAATCTGTCTGTAAACAATTGTTGGAAAAATTACTTGTGTCATGCACAAAGTAGATGTCCTAACCGACTTGCCAAAACTATAGTTTGTTAACAAGAAATTTGTGGAGTGGTTGAAAAACAAGTTTTAATGACTCCAACCTAAGTGTATGTAAACTTCCGACTTCAACTGTATCTTCCATTAGGTCATGTAAAATACACGAGTCTTAAAAGACCATTAGTCTCTGTTAGCGAGCTAGCGCTGCAGTGTTATGAGGACAGGCCTCTCTCTGATTACAGGCAGAGATGAGTCAAATGGCTGAGGGGACTGAGGTGACCGCTATGACGGCAAACTGCCACCCGTTCTGTATTTCTTCTTCTGTGCTAAGAGACGAGAACGCGTCTGGAATCAGTAATGAGACTGGGTGCTTAGCAACATCTTCAACGTTTGGTTTGGTAGGGTTGTGAACGCATAGATTGTGATTGTAAACATGTTTAAGTTCTGTCAGAGCAGGTACCTGAGGAGGAAAAACTAGCCTGACAATCCTGCTAACATGTCATTACAAATAGGTTGTGAGAAGGTTGGTAATGTCTTTACCTAGTCGAGAGCTTGGGACAATAAGGTTCTATCTGCATTTTTGTCAAAATTGATTTATTGACATAGCTTTGTTCTGTTCAATGTTCTCTGCCTATATAGTACTCTAAATACCCCAATTCATGTTGTTAAGTTCAAAAAGAACAGAATATAAAAATTGTTGACACCATTCAAACCAATGAGGGTTCAGAAATGTAAATTGTAAAATTATCTCTGAATCATCTTTTTTGCAGATAGAACCTTATAGTCCGAAGCTCTCATAGTGACATAGTTTTACAGACAACACTGTAAAGTCACAATTTTGGTAAAAACTATATTTGGTTCCGCTGTCCCTGTGTGGTGGCCTGAATGTGGACTGAGCGTGTGACTGAGCGCTATGTGTGCACCCAATCATATCTCTCCAGGGAGTTGAGGGCCACTCAGAATATAAAGATGGCCATTGAATCTGCTAGTGCTACTTAGCTGCCAGCTAATCTCCCAAGCCAGTTGTTCCAACGACATCGTTACCAGCCATAGTGAACCCATCTCATTTTATGGCCTCTATAACACAGTAGGAGGAGAAAGCTGTGGAGACAGTGGAGAGGAGGAGCCTGGCTGCCAGTGTGATTTAGTACCTGGTTGGGAGAAGCTCCACATTAGGCCAGCCTCCAGTGCCCCCTCTGTATTAGTCTAATTGAAACAGAAACGGCGGGGTGATAATGCTATAACAACACCCCCACGCCTTCGCCCCTGAGCCCCGCTGCGCTGATACACGGCTCCCCACAATAAACCATAAATAAAATGGATAGCTGAGGGGAGTGTCTGGGTTCTGCTCATTGGCTCATTGACTCCGAGGAGCGCTTTTAGCTTTCATATCGCATGTACTAGAAAGATTAGACAGCAGTCAGCAGCAGGCCTCTCCTCTAGCTCTGCACGGCCCTCTCCTTCTGGCCTTTTGTCGCTGTTGGTATTTAAGTGGGGGAGGACGGAGGGGAGGAGGGGGTATCATTTAGCCTAGGTCCAACAGGCTGTCCTCAGGACAGACAGGCTCTCACCCACCCAGCCAGTAAGGCCCAGGGAGATAGACCTGGACCCACGTTTTGCTCTCAGAGGAGCTCCTGTGAAGTGTACTTAAACTGAATGGTCTGAACTGCACAGTATGTGGCATCACCTCCTCTATGGGTACCCTGTTACTGTCATCATATCCTATATGGGTACCCTGTTACTGTCATCATCTCCTCGATGGGTACCCTGTTACAGGAATCATATCCTCTATGGGTACCCTGTTACTGTCATCATATCCTCTATGGGTACCCTGTTACTGTCATCATCTCCTCGATGGGTACCCTGTTACAGGAATCATATCCTCTATGGATACCCTGTTACAGGAATCATATCTCTATGGGTACCCTGTTACTGTCATCATATCCTCTATGGGTACCCTGTTACTGTCATCATCTCCTCGATGGGTACCCTGTTACTGTCATCATATTCTCTATGGTACCCTGTTACAGGAATCATATCCTCTATGGGTACCCTGTTACAGGAATCATATATCCTCTATGGGTACCCTGTTACAGGAATCTATCTCTATGGGTACCCTGTTACTGTCATCATATCCTCTATGGGTACCCTGTTACTGTCATCATCTCCTCGATGTGTACCCTGTTACAGGAATCATATCCTCTATGGATACCCTGTTACAGGAATCATATCCTCTATGGGTACCCTGTTACTGTGATCATATCCTCTATGGGTACCCTGTTACTGTCATCATCTCCTCGATGGGTACCCTGTTACTGTCATCATATTCTCTATGGGTACCCTGTTACAGGAATCATCTCTATGGTCCTTCTATATGGGTACCCTGTTACAGGAATCATATCCTCTATGGGTACCCTGTTACTGTCATCATATCCTCTATGGGTACCCTGTTACAGGAATAATCTCCTTGATGGGTACCCTGTTACAGGAATCATATCCTCTTGGGTACCCCGTTACAGAAATCTTATCATCTATGGTTACAGGAATCATATCCTCTATGGGTACCATGTTACAGGAATCATATCCTCTATGGGTACCATACTACAGGAATCATATCCTCTATGGGTACCCTGTTACAGGAATCATATCCTCTATGGGTACCCTGTTACAGGAATCATATCCTCTATGGGTACCCTGTTACAGGAATCATATCCTCCATGGCAGGTAGCCTAGCAGTTAAGAATGTTGGGCCGGTAACCGAAAGGTTGCTGGTTCCAATACCAGAGCCGACTAGGCCTTGAGCAAGGCACTTAACCCTAATTGCTCCTGTAAGTCGCTCTGGCTAAGAGCGTCCGCTAAATCACAAAAATGTTAAATGATCAAATGTACCCTGTTACTGGCTTATTAGTATCCTCTGCCCTCCATTACCTGCTCAAACCACTAGCTATATCAACACCAGTCCATCAGCCAACATCTCTCCGCTTAGTGAAAACACTTAGCTCCTGGTTATCGGGTGTAACCCTTCCCCTTAGACACAGAAACATGTCAGACAGAGAGAAACATTCATTTCCTTATAGAAATCCTGTACCCAGCTCACCACAATACCACAGGGTTTTAATTTCTAGGAGGCACAATTGTGAAGAACGTGATTGAAACAACATAAGAATTGGTTAAATTATACCAGAGGTCAAGTTAAAAGCTATCCCGCTTCCGTTCAAACAATAATATTATATATCGTTGTATTTTGAGACAGGAAAAAGAGATGCAAGGCTATTTGTCTTTAAAAAAGACCATACTAACGCTGCTGTGATGACACTTTTATCTTGTATTTACAACTGAAGAGCCCGGTAAGCCTTGATATTTATTGCTGAGACTGACCCTCATAACACCTAGCTGGGTGAATGATGATAGAGGATGGTTTCAGCAGTCATCACTGGTGACTAGATAAATACTAGTCTGAATACTGCTCTAATAGGGAACATTACACAGTCAGACGCCTGCTGGTCCTCTTATCTCTATGTGTGCTTGAAGAACAACCACAGAGCGATGCAAAAACCTCCCGTATTCCTGAGTGTGTGTGTGGTTGACATGGCTGAGCCAGGTCAAAGATTATGATTTATCGCCCTATTTATGCCCTGTACGTCAGTGGAGGCTGGTGGGAGGAGCTATAGGAGGTGGGCTCATTGTAATGGCTGGAATGGAATTAATGGAAGTCAAACGTGGTTTCTATATGTTTGATCTGTTTGATACCGTTCCATTGATTCCGTTCCAGCCATTACAATGAGCCCGTCCTCCTATAGCTCCTCCCACCAGCCTCCACTGCTGTACATATTTTCTCTCCTGAAGAGAGGCAACGTCTCCTTGAGCAGAATGGTGGAGTGCTGCACTGCCTTCCAAAAGGCTAACGATGAAGCTGCAACAATTATAGAGCGACAGACAGCCCAGAGCGAGAACCACACATATCTCTGTTTTAAATAGCTGGGGATGAGGGGAGAAACACTAACAGATGTTTGTTAAAGATCCACTGGTGGGTCATTCTTGATATACAGACAGTACTCCTGGTCCCTATTACATGTTCACAGTTTGATGCGTAAGAAACAGTACTGTTATTGATCTAGGTCCCTCAGTGGTTATTCAGCCAAGCAATGCGTTCTGTTGAGCATGATAAGCATTAGGAAGCCATGCTGTATGTGTGTGTAGTGTGTCATGAATGTACCTGGATGGTGAGGCAGAGAAGAGGGCAGACAGGCCTGTTTTATGGCCTCCATTAGGTATATGGCCAGCCCAATCCATCATCCTGAGACACTAAGGTTATGCTCTGGAATAACACAGGTCCTATAGACATGTACTGTACTCTTGTAGGATAGGGTCTATGACCTGTCAGTGTTCATCCTCACACTTCTCTCTATATATACTTTAGGGTTTGGTTCCCCTCCCTCTAAAAGGCTTTATGATGAGCAAGAACGTATTTTTCTGTAGTTATACTTTTATTTTGAGTCAGCGTGGATGCTGTTAGTCGCAGTTTGTGTCCAACTCTCATTCTCTCTCTCTCTCTCTCTCTCTCTCTCTCTCTCTCTCTCTCTCTCTCTCTCTCTCTCTCTCTCTCTCTCTCTCTCTCTCTCTCTCTCTCTCTCTCTCTCTCTCTCTCTCTCTCTCTATCTCTCTCTCTCTCTCTCTCTCTCTCTCCTCCTCCCACAGCCTTTGTGTTGAGTTGTACCTTTCCCCAGCGGCCGGCCTGTGGGGATGTGTCTGTGAGCAGCCTCCACTCTGGGGGAGAGGCCTACTTCTACTGTGTGACTGGGTACCAACTGCAGGGAACCAACACACTGACCTGCCTCAACGCCAGCACCCCCTACTGGAGCGGCACGGAGCCGCAGTGCCACGGTGAGGGCTGGGGGCAGCTAGCTACGTACAACTCGCACCCAAATACCACAATGGGACCAATAGACCTTGCTATGCACACATACTTTCTCCACAGTTGTTGAACATATTAATAGACAAAAACACTCATCCGCTCTCAATCCTTATCACAGTCTTTCAAAAACAAATTCATATTCCCTGTGATATGTCCTGTAACTATTCCTACCGGAGCATCAACACAGTTCTTCCCTCTGCAACAAGTCAGGTGTATAACCACATAAACACGTTGTCCTCGCTGGAGCAGTTAAACTCCAGTAGAATGATCCCACACGCACTCGGCTTGGTGTTGTAAAATGCTTGGTGTTGTATGAAAAATGTATGCACTCACTAACTGTAAGTCGCTCTGGATAAGAGCATCTGCTAAATGACTAAAAATTTAAAAAAGTAAAAATGTGTTGCTCAAAAGTTAATTGGGGTTTAATCATTGATTTGGGCCTTATTGGTGTGGGCTGTAGTGTCTGTTGCACTGGGGTGGTGAATGTTAAACAGACAGCCCTATTCAGTCAGGCCTCTCCTAGGAAGTAAAGAACTAAACAAAACAAGCAATGTTTTTTGCTTGTTTTCAGCAGAAGCAAGGACTGCATCATATTTTCTCTTCCAGGAAGTTCACCTCTTGAGTCTGCTTGTATTTGTCTTGCATAACAAGCACAGATTCAGACAGGGTTCAATCCCCGGTGGAGGACAGTTCAGAAGCAGACAGCTTAGATGTAGGATCTAATTTTAATGCTCAGATGAGCACAAGTGATGAATAGTGAGTGAATGTTTTAGCCCTGGTCAGATAAACATTTGGAACAGTGGGTCTCTCCATTGTTTTAAAGTGAATGGAGAGCAGGGATGCTCCCTCCTAGCGTTGGGCATCAAAAGGGCATAGTTTAGAAATGTGTGGAGAGAGTATAAGGTTCTCTCTCCGAGCATTGGGTGACCAAACAAACCATTTAAACAGCACCTGTGTGTGTGTGCCTGCGCCCCAGACAGTGGTCCCAGAGCCCACAGCATGGTATCTGCCAGGGTGTGATTACTGATGGCAGGGCAGTGTCACAGGGCAGGTTAGGCCTGAGGCTGCAGCTCTGCTTTAATTACAGTGGCTTGCATAAGTATTCACCCCCCTTGGCATTTTTCCTATTTTGTTGCCTTTCAACCTGGAATTAAAATAGATTTTGGGGGGCGGGTTTGTATCATTTGAGTTACACAACATGCCTACCACTTTGAAGATGCAAAATATTTTTTATTGTGAAACAAACAAGAAATGAGACAGAAAAACAGAAACATAACTATTCACCCCCCCAAAGTCAATACTTTGTAGAGCCACCTTTTGCAGCAATTACAGGTGCAAGTCTCTTGGGGTATGTCTCTATAAGCTTGGAACATCTAGCCACTGGGATTTTTGCCCATTCTTCAAGGCAAAACTGCTACAGCTCCTTCAAGTTGGATGGGTTCCGCTGGTGTACAGCAATCTTTAAGTCATACCACAGATTCTCAATTGGATTGAGGTCTGGGCTTTGACTAGGCCATTCCAAGACATTCAAATGTTTCCCCTTAAACCACTCAAGTGTTGCTTTAGCAGTATGCTTAGGGTCATTGTCCTGCTGGAAGGTGAACCTCTGTCCCAGTCTCAAATCTCTGGAAGACTGAAACAGGTTTCCTTCAAGAATTTCCCTGTATTTAGCGCCATCCATAATTCCTTCAATTCTGACCAGTTTCCCAGTCCCTGCCGATGAAAAACATCCCCACAGCATGATGCTGCCACCACCATGCTTCACTGTGGGGATGGTGTTCTTGGGGTGATGAGAGGTGTTGGGTTTGCGCCAGACATAGCGTTTTCCTTGATGGCCAAAAAGCTCAATTTTAGTCTCATCTGACCAGAGTACCTTCTTCCATATGTTTGGGGAGTCTCCCACATGCCTTTTGGCGAACACCAAACGTGTTTGCTTATTTTTTTCTTTAAGCAATGGCTTTTTTCTGTCCACTCTTCCTTAAAGCCCAGCTCTGTGGAGTGTACGGCTTAAAGTAGTCCTATGGACAGATACTTCAATCTCAGCTGTGCTTTGCAGCTCCTTCAGGGTTATCTTTGGTCTCTTTGTTGCCTCTCTGATTAATGCCCTCCTTGCCTGTTCCGTGAGTTTAGGTGGGCAGCCCTCTCTTGGCAGGTTTGTTGTGGTGCCATATTCTTTCCATTTTTTTATAATGGAATTAATGGTACTCCGTGGGATGTTCAAAGTTTCTGATATTTTTTTATAACCCAACCCTGATCTGTACTTCTCCACAACTTGGTCCCTGACCTGTTTGGAGAGCTTCTTGGTCTTCATGGTGCTGCTTGCTTGGTGGTGTTGCAGACACTGGGGTTTTTCAGGACAGGTGTATATATATACTGAGATCATGTGACACTTAGATTGCACACAGGTGGACTTTATTTAACTAATTATGTGACTTCTGAAGGTAATTGGTTGCACCAGATCTTATTTAGGGGCTTCATAGCAAAGGGGGTGAATAGATATGCACGCACCACTTTTTGACTATTTTGTGTATGTCCATTACATGAAATCCAAATAAAAATCAATTTAAATTACAGGTTGTAATGCAACAAAATAGGGAAATCGGCAAGGGGGATTGTAACAATGTATGCTGGGCCAAAACAAGAGTAGCGTACAGACAGGAACAGAGTAACATAATCAATAACACCTGGGGAAGGAACCAAAGGGAGTGACATATACAGGGGAGGTAATCAGGAAGGTGATGGAGTCCAGGTGAGTCTGATGAGGCACTGGTGAGCATAACGATGGTGACAGGTGTGCGTAATAAAGAGCAACCTGGTGACCTAGAGGCCAGAGGGGGAATATATGTGACAGGGATGAATACTTTTGCAAGGCACTGTAAGCCTGGTGTCTACCTAGCTGACCTTCACCTCATCTGTTGTGATAAACTGATATCAATACCAGACCCACTCTCTCTTTTATTCCCTTTACACAAACTCAGAGCTTGCTCTTACTCACCACCTCCACTCATTGTGTTTTCATGATTTATCTCTAGTCATGATTTCTCAAGGTATTCTCTGTCATTACACATTCTGTTTGACTGGGATTTAAGCAAATGTTTTTCCCAGACTAAAATACCTCTCTCCCTCCTCCTCCTCCCATCCCATTTTCCTTCTGTCCATCCTCCTCCCATTTTACTTCTCTTCTCCTCCCATCTATCTCATCTTCCTTCCTCCCATTCCTACTTCATTCTCCATGGGCATCCCAGCTGCCTGTGGTGGCATTGTCCGGAATGCCACGGTCGGACGCATTGTGTCACCCGGTTTCCCTAGCAACTACAGCAACAACCTGACGTGCCATTGGCTGCTGGAGGCCCCAGAGGGACAGCGAGTGCACGTCCACTTTGAGAAGGTGGCCCTGGCAGAGGACGATGACAGGTGTGGTGTCAGTCAGGGGGTTCACTTCACTACAGTGTTCAGTCAGACCTGGGTTCAAATAGTATTGATTTTCTTCCAAGTATTTTGACCTTTGATTAAGCGTGTCTTGAGTGCCAGATGGGTGGGGTTTGCACTTAGAGGGCTATTCCATTGGTTATATTGCACCAAGCCAACTCAATAAAGTGTATAGCTTTAAAAGAAAGAACATACTATCTGAACCCAGGTCTGCTACAGTGTTCTGACCTTAGTGCTCTACTCCAGTACACTATCCAGTTCTAAGTGTCCACTTGAGTTTAATAATCAATCAACAAGCAGCCAACATCTCATCAGAGTCCTACTGCTGGCTCTGTGACAGTTGGACATGATTCTCACCTCAGGCTCATGGTTCTGTTGTCACACATGTCATATTACCAGTCCATTCCTCTGCTACACTTCAGGGCATCGTCTCATCATCTGAGATAGAGATTCAGTGGAACATCTGTGTCTCTGTGTCAGAATGGAAATCTATTTTTTTGAAAATGGTGAGAGAGGAAGGGAGAAGGAGAGAGAGAGAAATACAGAAATAATTGGAAACATTTCAATCACCTTCCTACTTTCTTTTTTGACTGTCATTATGAAACTATTCATGATCCTTATTGGAGTCATAATGCTCTATGACTGCATCTATCAGCTGTTGTGAAAGTTTGTAAGGCAATATAACACTTCACAAGAAGGTGCTTCAAGTGAATTAATTGAATTGACTAGGACATGCTTATTTGAGTTGAGATAATGTTGTTTTTATGAGCGGTAGCCGCTGTGTCTGGAGACAATAACAAATGGACTTTTAATGAGGTCAGTAGGCTAGCTGCTCAGCTGTACTGAATATATCGTTGGCCTTTTATGCAGAACAGTCCAGCCCAATGCTTTAATACTGTATCACATTCCTTCCTGTTGCTTCGTCTCATTAGGAGCTTCAGTCCAGGTGGCTGAGGTAACTCTGATAACGTGCCCACCATGCATATTACGAGGTCTTAGAAATCCAACCAGGTACTGATGTGTTTGAATTTCTCTATTTCAGGCTTCTGATTAAAAATGGGAACAACATTGACTCTCCTCCGCTGTATGACTCATATGAGGTGGAGTACCTGCCCAACGAGGGCCTGGTGAGCACCTCCAGACCCCTCTTCATAGAGCTCACCACTGATGGAGCAGGCACCTCCACCGGCATCGCCATTAGATACCAAGGTAGACACATCCCCATGGGAGCTAACACAAGTCTTCAGGTCTCGGTTACACCTCAACCCCTTTGACCTTCTCCAACTCACAGAGACCCATCCAGGTCACGGCACCAATGTTACTGACTGGGTTAGAACCAATGATCCCTCTAAACTGCGTGCGTGCGCACCCGCGCACTTCCTCCAGGACTGCTGCACAGAAGAAATGCCATGCTGCACAGAGACGCAAGAGATTGAACTTCACTGAGTTCGCCCCATTAGTTGCACTATATAGATCAACGTTTTTTCTGTAATCGAATCAACATTATATCAGCCCCAAAACAAAACTTTGCAAGATTGAGTCTGTGATTTTGTTGTAGGCAGAGCCAGAGCGCAACAGAGTAGAATTCTATTGACAGGGGTAGCCCACAAGCGGTCTTTCAATCACCCGCGAGTGGAAATGCTTTTCAGATCAGTTCAGATCAGAGCTCAGAGCTGCCCGTGTGCACATTTGTTGATATTGTTTGCTAGTCAGCGAGTTATTAGCCCAGTTATAGATAAGTATAGGTCAGCAATGGGGAGTTACTGCTTCCTACAAGAGCACAAAACATGTAGGCTACATTTCAAGCTGTCTTTGAAAAGCCAGTCAAGTAAAACGCTTATGTCTTAATTAAAGGGGCAGTGTTGTATTTTGAGACAGGCTTGAATATGCAAATAAGGTAATAGGCAGAGGGGTAGCCTACATTGTCTAATTCTCTGTTTGGTAATAATAATTCATTTTATTTTTGTAAAGTGGTTTCTTGCATCATACAACACACTACAATGCAATTTACTGTCCCTTATTTGGCCCATGGTGTTACAGACCAAGTAAAAAATAATTAATTAATGTCAAGCCCTTCATAATGTAAAAACGTTTTTAAAAGTCTCATGCAATGTAGCCCTGCATTGAACACCACATATAGGCTACTGTAGGCTATATCATAGAAATCAAAAGCTATTTCCATGTGAAAATGTTCTGGGATTTGCTCCATTGGTTTTGTTGGTAGGCCTACATTATGCTCAAATAGCCACAATAGCCTATTGGCTACTGTCTAAAACTGTAAGGGTACAGCCTCAGTGTTCACTGTAAACTCGCGCCGGAAGATGGACAAAATTCTCACAACATTCAAGTTTGCTCAGTGCCCCAAAAATGTTGAAGGAACAGTGGTTAGAACGTAGGTTCCCTGTGTGCCACAAGACTAGGCCTAGGCATGGGGATCAACACAAGTCTTCAGGTCTCTGGAAAGCGTACTCAAGGACACTCACACTTCCCTCACACACTCAGTCCAGCAGTTGGTAGAGCATGGCGCTTGCAACGGCAGGGTTGTGGGTTCGTTTCCCACGGGGGGCCAGTATGAAAAATGTATGCACTCACTAACTGTAAGTCGCTCTGGATAAGAGCGTCTGCTGAATTACTAAAATGTCAAATTTAATATTGGTGGAGCTAAAAACTGTTGTTTAAGAAATGCATCATGCCCTGCAGACTGGCAAAAGACACTGCCTCAGGCCCTCTCCTCTCCTTTCCCTCCTCTAAATAATTGAAATGGAAATATGTCAAACATAACAATCAATTAAAGTCCTCTGCTCTGACTAGTTTAGCTACAAACTCTCAAATGTTTTATTTTTCTCCACGCTCATCCCCAGTCATCCTCTCTACGTGTGGCAACTAATTCTTATACGTGGCTTTTCAAATGGCTGTTCAGAGCTTGGAGTCAGAGCCACATCACAGGTCCTGGAGTATTTCTCCAATCAGATCAATTTAATCTGTATAGGGCTTCAATTTACTGTAGCAAATGGGATTACGCTGTGAGAGAGCAGTGCTGCTTATTCTAATGGACCTTGTGTGGGTTGTCTTTAACAGCATTACCCTGTTGAATTTGACACCGGGTGTAACTGCTTTAATAGTGCTAATCTCGCCCTGATTTGAACCATTACATGTGCTGTCAGTCAGTGGGTTGAAGCAACAGAGCACCAGATAGGCAGTGAGCTAACGGGCGGCTCGCTTTCGGCAAAGTCAATGGCCCACTGCCTATGGCACACATGGGGCTCAGTGACACAGTCTGGGCTTTTTTCTGTGATTGATCCACATATCCTCTCTTTCACAGCATTTTCAGTGGGCCACTGCTACGAGCCGTTCGTCAAGTACGGTAACTTCACAAGTAATGACAGCATGTGGGCAGTGGGGACAGTGGTAGAGTTCACTTGTGACCCTGGCTACACCCTGGAGCAGGGCTCTGTCATCATCGAGTGCATGGACCACAACAACCCCCAGTGGAACGAGACTGAGCCCGCCTGCAGGGGTATGCTGTGTGTTTTTGTTCTGTGTAGGAAATTAGCTGTACGATATTGTTGCACAGAGTATTTTTGTTTACTGTATGTGTGTGTTTTTGTGTGTGTGTGTGTTACAGCTGTTTGCAGTGGAGAGATGACTGACTCTGCTGGAGTGGTCCTGTCTCCTAACTGGCCAGAGGCCTACGATAGCGGCCAAGACTGCATCTGGGGGATTCACGTGGAGGAAGACAGGAGGATCATGCTAGACATCAAAGTGTATGTATCTTAACTATCGCTTACGTTCTACACCACAGATTCTCCTGAACATCAGATATAACATTTTATGCAGATGCAGAAAAAGGATGTTAGCTATGGGAACCCTTTTAAACAACGTCCTGGCAGCACATTCCCCTCCCCATAGCAGTTCGAGTGGAGGACACCCCACCACAGAGTAGCTCTGCAGCACATCTCTGCACTCAGATCATTAGGAGAAGCTTTACTGCTGATGTACAAACACAGCCCCGACTTCAAACAGAAACTGCCAGTGCAAAGAACTACCCCACTGTGACTGGTTAAACAAATGAAAAGAGAAAAGGGCTGAAGATAAAATAATATGTTGCTCTTGGATGGGACACATAAGTACCAGCAGACAAAGGTTAATTACCAACTGGAGCGGAAACTAATTATTTCACGGGGGTTCGGACAGAGGTGGTGTATGTGTGTTCTGCTGAATCAGATAGGTTGAGTTGAGCAGAGCAGGGGAGAGGAGTGAGTGTTTTCCGTGATAGTGATGTCAGGTGAAGGCTGGGAACAAAAGACCCTGCTGTGTCAGACCCTGATAGATGAACCATGCGTACAATCATTTGGCTTCCTTAATTAAGAACTGGCTCATTTGCATATGTTGTCTCTCTTGCTCTCCTCTCTCTCTTCGGAACGCCTCAGCTGCGGTTGTACATTCTGAAGCATTGTAACAAATGGCATCCTCCATGTTTGGGACAAGAAGCTGTCAACATAATTAATTTCCTATTCATATAGAGGGGAAGCGATTTGGGCAGATATGACTTTCAGGGACAACAGTGAAACGCATTCAGCTCAACCTCGGAGCGTTGATGAGAATTCCGTTTGCATGTGCATGTGGGTGAGACAGAGAGAGAGAGCTATCTAAGGATAATGTACAGGATTTCCTCCCCATTTCCTCCTGTTTTGATGTGAACATCAATATCAGCATACGCTGAAAGGTGAACAAGGGGAAATATGAGAACCTAACATCTGCAATCTCAGTTTAAAGGCATCACTCAAACCACTGTTATCATTCAGTACATCCTCAAAGAAAGCATTCAGTCTCTGATCATAGTGCTGCACAAGGAGTGATTATGCTTTGAGTCCAGTCACTGATAATCTGAACACACAGACTCTCGTGCCATGAACCTCATGTACCATGCCTGATGCCTCCCTCCTGTCCCACTAGTCACGCCAGCGTTCTGGAACACAATTGCACGGTGTGCCTTCCTAAAGCTCATTACCAGGGTTTAGGAACACTTTACCACGGTAATGAGAACACTCTCATTCCTCTATGATCATTCATCACCGCCCAGCGTCCTGTTCCCCGCTCCCACAATCACACAGGACCAGGGGCCCTAATGACGGCTGGGACACTTATTCAGGGGCCTTACTAATGACGGCTGGTTCATCCCAACCAACCAGGAGGGCTAGCTAGGCGCCCGTTAAGGGCTCAGGTGCAGGAGGAGGGGCTGTGAACGACATGCAGGTGTGGAGGATGGTACACCTGGGGTGTAGTTCAGCAACCCAAGTTCAGATGCTCCAAATGTTGATGGAGTGCTCCAACGCCTAAATGGTGTTTAGGAGTGTATGGGAATGGGATTTAGCTGTGTCTCTGCCTTGATGAACTTGATGATCAGAAATACACATTCTGAATACACACTTGCACGCAAACACCCATGCATGTGACCTTTGGCAGTTGTAGTTAATGTAAATCATTTGCACACTTGCATGCATATATTCACAACCATACCAATATACACACACTGTATATGCAACCCCAGCAGTCCTATGGTGTTAATAAGGGAGGAAATAGTTTCCAAGTCAGACAGTGATTCTGGTAGTTTTCATATTGGCTTCCATTATAGTGTGCTTTGTCTTCGGTGAGAATTTAGTGAGAAGAGCGACAGGATATTTCATGCAATGATGCATCAAATATTACTTATAGCACTTATACCTTGATTAGGTTTGTCTCCCAGGGCTGGAAGTTGGCAGGAGAACTCATTGGCTTATTCCATCACTAGTATCGCTGATAACTGTGTTGACCCTGAGCCTGCTTGTCTGGATATGTTAGCCTAGCACTGGGAGTTGAGGCGGAGTGAAGGGATCAGTGGCTCTGGATCCCCGTCCAGCCAAGATCTCACAAGCCAGGGAGGAGTGGATTAGAAATGTGATATTCCATCAGAACTTTCATTCAGGTTAGTCTGTGGGGACTAAGGGGTGCAGGGGTGAGATGAAAGGAGAAGGTTCTAATGACCATTGGGCAGCCATCATGACTCCCAAATGACTGAGTTTAATCGAATTATGATTTTATTGAGGGGTATTAATTTTGCTAAACTAGCTAGAAACGGGCAGGTTGTATTTATTTTTTACTTGTCCTGGACATGAATTTCAAGTTCTCTCAGTGGTGGAGAAGAGATTAGGCCGATGCATATGAGGAGTTGTCTGAGATAATGCATTGTGAAGGAACATGGTGGCAGGCAGCTGGGCCTGTGGGCCGAGTCAATCTGAGCCTGTGTTTAAATTACACTAAATCAAGTCACTGCCACACAATAGAAAGCATGATTCATTTTCGCTGCAGATATGGCAGCACAGCTATGCAAAGGCTTGTTTAACTTGATCACAACAAATGTAATGCAAGCTGATACAATTTCTCAACCTGTCCCGCTCTGTTGAGGTGAGATGCATTTTCAGGCGTCAATAAATTACTGCAGGTTTAGCTTTTTCTGGAGCTGCAATACAGATGCATCAGCAGAAAATACCCACTGGGCACACACTGGTTGAATCAATGTTGTTTCCACGTCATTTCAATGAAATTAAGTTGAACCAAAGTGGAATAGACGTTGAATTCACGTCTGTGCCCAGTGGATAGTCTAAGCTGTGCTGATATTTCAGTAGTCTGATACACCTGATCTTTGCCAAGACGTGTGTGCATCATATCTATAATGTCTTTAAACTGAACTCGGTTTACAGAGTGTAAACAAGTTGACGAGATTGAGACATTTTTACACTCTCTCTGTTATTCATGTCATACAATACACTACAGATACACGACTGCATTACAGAACCAAATCTCTTTATCGCTCAAATTGTTTAGGATTTTTTTTCTGTTAGGCTCCATAGTGATTAATAGTTCAATTGCTTGCGTTGTAATTAGTTTTATCAGGAGCCACTTGTGATTAATTAGAGACAGGAAAGAGTAACGTGTCACCTCCCTATTCAGGCTGAGAGTGATTTCCCCCCTACTTTAAATCAAATCAAATCAAATCAAATCAAATTTTATTGGTCACATGCGCCGAATACAACAGGTACAGACATTACAGTGAAATGCTTACTTACAGCCCTTAACCAACAGTGCATTTATTTTAAACAAAAAAAGTAAGAATAAAACAACAACAAAAAAAGTGTTGAGAAAAAAAAGAGCAGAAGTAAAATAAAGTGACAGTAGGGAGGCTATATATACAGGGGGGTACCGTTGCAGAGTCAATGTGCGGGGGCACCGGCTAGTTGAGGTAGTTGAGGTAATATGTACATGTGGGTAGAGTTAAAGTGACTATGCATAAATACTTAACAGAGTAGCAGCAGCGTAAAAAGGATGGGGTGGGGGGGCAGTGCAAATAGTCCGGGTAGCCATGATTAGCTGTTCAGGAGTCTTATGGCTTGGGGGTAGAAGCTGTTGAGAAGTCTTTTGGACGTAGACTTGGCACTCCGGTACCGCTTGCCGTGCGGTAGCAGAGAGAACAGTCTATGACTAGGGTGGCTGGAGTCTTTGACAATTTTGAGGGCCTTCCTCTGCAGTGTACTTTACATCCCACACTGGTGCTTAAGGAGAGGGCTCTGTCTCAGTTGACACATTTTGCGACAAATTAGCACATGGTTTTGTCACTCTTTTCAGTAGAGCTATGGTGTTCCAAAGTAAATGAAAAATGTAAACAGAATATCCCAAAGCAAGAAAATTATTTTAGTGAGGGTGCTTTAAAGTTTTTAAAACAGATACAGAAAACAATGACAAATAAACTATAGGACAAATTAGCTAGTAATGTGAGAGTGTACGTGAAGGACAATTCATTGTGCACAGTGAAATACATTTTCCTTCTGTCTTTGTGCTCCAGCCTCAACATAGGGAAGAACGACCTGCTGACGTTCTATGATGGAGATGACCTGACTGCTAAGGTGCTGGGTCAGTACGGAGGCTCGCGGCCACACTTCAAACTCTACACCTCCATGGCCGACGTCACCATCCAGTTCCAATCTGACCCAGCCACCAACATTTACGGCTACGGCAACGGCTTTGTGGTGCACTTCTTCGGTAAGGCCCCGGAGTGAGTTAGGAGAGAGTGTGAGGTCGAGAGGGTTCAGGAGGAGGAGACACTCTTAAACATAAAAAGGAGGGGCCCCTTCTATCAGCACGGTCGGCACGACACCAGAGCGGAGCCAACCCATAAAGCAGACATCTGATAAGACGTAATGAATTCCATGTATAGAGAGGGAGAAAGAGGAGGCAGTGGAATACTGATGACTGGGAGAGAGAAGAGACAGAGAGAAGAGTGAGAGAGAGAGACAAGAGAGAGAGAGAGAGAAGAGAGATAGAGAGACGAGAGAGAGAGAGAGAGAGAGAGAGAGAGAGAGAGAGAGAGAGAGAGAGAGAGAGAGAGAGAGAGACGAGAGAGAGAGAGAGAGATAGAGAGAGAGAGAGAGATAGAGAGATAGAGACAAGAGAGATAGAGAGACAAGAGAGATAGAGAGACAAGAGAGAGAGAGAGAGATAGAGAGACAAGAGAGAGAGAGAGAGATAGAGAGAGAGAGAGGTGGTTTTATAGTCTGTTCATGCCTCTGACAGAGATGGAAAGCAAGGCCCAGCCAAGTGGTGCAGCTGTCTGGTATTACTCCGTGTGTTTGTCCACATTAGCCTAGTCTGCAGTGTGCCCTGTCCTCTCTGGCTTCTGCTGTGGCTAGAACGGGCACCGCCAGGCTGCCTGGCAGACAGACCTCCCAATGCATGGCACTTGTCACACTAGATTGAAATTCCTACAAAATGGATGTCCTCTATTGAGTTTGTCATGAGGTTCATTCATTTGAATGCAAAACCACACCCCTCCAGCTCTGTGCGCTCTGTAGTGAGTGGCTTCTTCTCTTGATCCCTTTCTCTCTCCCTCCTTCATGGATCCAGAGGTGCCTCGTAACGACACGTGTCCAGAGCTCCCAGAGATCACCAACGGCTGGAAGAGCACCTCCCACCCTGAGCTGGTCCATGGCACGGTGGTCACCTACCAGTGCTACCCAGGCTTCCAGCTGGTGGGCACAGAGCTGCTCATGTGCCAGTGGGACCTGACCTGGAGCGGAGACCTGCCCAGCTGTGAGAGAGGTGACTACCACACACACACTGGCACACAGAAGGTGCATTGTAGGTGTGAGAGGCAGTTTCAGTTAAGGACAGGCTAAAGCAGAGGCTGATGGGTAAAAACATTCACTGCTAGACTGATATTTCAGAGAATTTAATAGGCTCTGTGTTACAGCTCCTCCACACAATACTCCTGTTCTATCCAGACGACCTGGATGCTGCAGAGTAGAGACAGGATAATGTGACAGAGTGTCCTTGGTCTTGGTCCCCTTTCCCACAAAGTGACAGGCACGGCATTACTGACCGGTAACAAGACACAGGGGTTTGAAGCCTCATTTGGACGTCTGTCACGTGAACATTATTACCACGCTGACCCTTTTCCTACTGGGCCCAGGATTGGGTTTGTGGTTTGCTGCTGTGAGGGACTGAGACACAGAGATAATCTCTTTATTTTCCAGCTCGGTGTGTTTATGTGTCTGCAGGTTTTAATTAGAAAAAGGCCCGGGCACCACTCTGGCCCCATTGGATAACCACAAATAAGCATTGACAAATGCTAATAATACAAAAAAAAGAACAAATTGTATTCACTGCACATGAGTAAAGCGCTGTTTTTTTTCTGTGTGTGTGTGTGTGTGTGTGTGTGTTTGTGTCTATGTGTGTGTGTGTGTGTCAGTGCTGTCGTGTGTCGACCCAGGTACTGTGGAGCACAGTCGCAGGGTGATGTCCGGCCCGCGTTTCACTGTAGGCTCCACCATCCAATACATCTGTAACAAAGGCTACACCCTCTCTGGAAACAGCCTGCTCTCCTGCTACAACCACGGCTCCTCCGGACCTAAATGGAGCGAGATGCTACCCAAATGTGCCTGTACGTACTCCCTGGTCATCAGGCTGCTAAAACATCTCCATTATACACACTTCCCAGCTAGCACATGGTTCTTTGGACATTGTGGGAACATACATTTTTGGTTTCCCATTGGTTCTGGGAACGAAGCCTGTAAAACTGAAACTTTTTTAAACGTTCTGAGAACGGAAGTGAAAATTTCACCTGTTCTGGCAACATACATTTTTAGGTTGCAGGGAGGTTCTGAGAACGTTTTAATATGGTTCCCTGAAAGTTTTGCTGGGAGGTTTTATTACCGTTCTGAGAACAGAAATTATAGGTTATTTGAAGGTAATTAAATAACATTTAATTGAGAATATGAGAATATGTTTCAATAAGAATTTTAATAACACTGCTTGCTTAGTTTGGGTTAACTGTTTAACTCCAAGCAGAGATAGGACACATGTAAATTAATTTGTTTAGGGAGTGAACGTTATTTATAATAAGGATTACATGGAGAAAATCTGACCTCTCAGAAATTAAAATGGATGGCCCTCCCATCAGCAAAATATATTTTACCTAAACCCTCCCTGAACGCTTGAAAAAAAACAAGTGACCCTCTTCTATAACCAAAATGATAATTAAAACAAAGTGGACAGCAGAGGACATGTCTACTGTTTACCCTCACTTCCTGGACAGACCAGAGCCTTAGATACGCAGTTTTATAAACTGTTTTTCTTCCCATAAGCATTACATGGCAAAGTGGGAATGTTGATAGCACACAGGGCTGCGGGATAGAAGGTTGTGGGTTCGCAGTCCACCGTAGACACGAGTAGGGGTGGACAGATCTCCTGTATAGTTAAAGCATTGCATGAATCTATCATCGTATTTGGGAGGTCCAATAAAAAATGGCCTTTTATAAACATTTCTTGCAATTCTACGTAATTGTACATATTAGCGGAATCTTTTTTTAATACCACACAAATTACCGAAATTATAGGTTAAGAATGGACAGAGAGATAGGCCTATGTGTTCATCTTATCATATTTCTCCAATGCCAAATCAGTGTGTCTTGTTTGCAATGAAACTGTCATTGTTTGCAAATAATAACATCTGAGACTTCATTAGGAATCTGAGCATGGTAGGCTACTTTCAAAATGTAGGCCCACCTTTCCACCCCAGACAGAATAGGCCTACCGACGCAGAAAAATGTAAGCTTTAACTGCTGGCTACTTTTCTTCCATTGCTTAACCCAACGAGAGAAGGGCACAAGTGTTTCCCTAAAAGCTATCTGGGTTGAAACTATTTGACCTAGATAGTTTGTGTGTATGTATTTGTAACAGATGTTAATCGTACTCTCCTTGCATTGTGTTTAGTTTAAAGAAATCACCCCAGCCAGTAGTCCCAGTTTATCGTTATTTATTATCTGTGATTAAATAGGAAACAGCACGTTAGTTGTGCAGGGCTTAATGTTGTCGATGGTAAAATCTGTAGCATGAAAACAACTGTGTTAGCAGTGAGCTTATGTGACCATTACATCGGTGCATGCTAGCTAACACACTTATATACAGCAATGATATACCAAAGCACATCCCAGAAAGCCCCTCAATCCCTAACAGGTACCATAACACATGTATAAATCAGGAATGTACAGCAAACTTGTACACATTGTAAAATACAGAAATAGAATACAGTATTCAGAACGTGACCTACCCCTTAAATCACATTTTCATACTGGGGAGACCTAACGTTCGCGATCTCCCCCTATCTGCAAGCGGGGCCAATAACAACACGCCTTGTTGTCATCGGAATTGAACCAACCAATAAGAGTGCTTGAACATTAAATACACATTTCTTTAGAGGAAAGTAGAAACATAACCAACCCTATTACATTATCCCCTGCTGAATTCCACTTGCATACTATAAAGAAATAATAAAAACAAAATGAGGTATGCAGTACCTTGCAATATATACAGTTGAAGTCGGAAGTTTACATACACTTAGGTTGGAGTCATTAAAACTCGTTTTTCAACCACTCCACAAATGTCTTGTTAACAAACTATAATTTTGGCAAGTCGGTTAGGACATCTACTTTGTGCATGACACAAGTAAGTCATTTTTCCAACAATTGTTTACAGACAGATTATTTCACTTATAATTCACTGTATCACAATTCCAGTGGGTCAGAAGTTTACATACACTAAGTTGACTGTGCCTTTAAACAGCTTGGAAAATTTCTGAAAATGATGTCATGGCTTTAGAAGCTTGTGATAGGATAATTTACACCATTTGAGTCAATTGGAGGTGTACCTGTGGATGTATTTCAAGGACTACCTTCGAAATCAGTGCCTCTTTGCTTGACATCATGGGAAAATCAAAAGAAATCAGCCAAGACCTCAGAAAAAAATGGTAGACCTCCACAAGTCTGGTTCATCCTTGTGAGCAATTTTCAAATGCCTGAAGGTACCACTTTCATCTGTACAAACAACAGTACGCAAGTATAAACACCATGGGACCACGCAGCCGTCATAACGCTCAGGAAGGAGATGCGTTCTGTCTCCTACAGATGAACATACTTTGGTGCGAAAAGTGCAAATCAATCCCAGAACAACAGCAAAGGACCTTGTGAAGATGCTGGAGGAAAAAGGTACAAAAGTATCTATATCCACAGTAAAACGAGTCCTATGTCGACATAACCTGAAAGGCCAGACTACGGTTTGGAACTGCACATCGGGACAAAGATCGTACTTTTTGGAGAAATGTCCTCTGGTCTGATTAAACAAAAATAGAACTGTTTGGCCATAATGACCATCGTTATGTTTGGAGGAAAAAGGGGGACGCTTGCAAGCCGAAGAACACCATCCCAACCGTGAAGCACAGGGGTGGCAGCATCATGCTGTGAGGGTGCTTTGCTGCAGGAGGGACTGGTGCACTTCACAAAATAGATGGCATCATGAGGAAGGAAATTTATGTGGATATATTGTAGCAACATCTCAAGACATCAGTCAGGAAGTTAAAGCTTGGTCGCAAATGGGTCTTCCAAATGGACAATGACCCCAAGCATACTTCCAAAGTTGTGGCAAAATGGCTTAAGGGCAACAAAGTCAAGGTATTGGCGTGGCCATCACAAAGCCCTGACCTCAATCCTATAGAACATTTGTGGACAGAACTGAAAAAGTGTGTGCAAGCAAGGAGGCCTACAAACCTGACTCAGTTACACCAGCTATGTCAGGAGGAATGGGCCAAAATTCACCCAACTTATTGTGGGAAGCTTGTGGAAAGCTACCCGAAACGTTTGACCTAAGTTAAACAATTTAAAGGCAATGCTACCATTTGTGGGCTGTGGCAAGGGGTCCGGGCAGTTTACAACAGCCGACACTGGCCTACTCACTTCCTGCGTCAGTGTGGTGACCAGTGGGGGCAGCCGCAAGGGACATGGAGCCTTGCACTTCCTCTGGTACTCCTCCAGCCTGCCATGGACCTCCGCAGCCGTTCACTCATGCAATGGTTTGCACATGATTTTCAATGACAGCTCTGGGTTCAGACAGTGCTTGATGAACATGACAGTCAGAACACGTGACGGATTGTCTAGCTCCTTGTTCTGCCTCTTCAAACAGTCCTCTGCCACCTCTATGGCCCTGTTCAGTCTAATCCAGTAGTCAAATGGAGTCTCTCATTCTGTTACGCACTCCTCTCGGAAGAGGGAACGCAACACCATGCTACAACTCAACGTGGTGTGAAAGAGGTTTGGGACTGTAGGTGTGAGTAAGGATGACAAAAGGCAGAGAATACCGTTAACAGGGAATTTATTCCTTCGCACGGTAAGTTTGGGGAAAAGGGGCTGGACGGAACCAAAGCAAATAAAGTAAATATCAAAGCCCCCTCTCCTACCTTACCTGCCTACCCACTACTTACTTAACTAGCACCACCTGGCGCATTAACCAAAATACAAGGGATGGTCCGCCCAGGTCTTTCCTAGTGTGCATAGACAGTTAACTTCTACGGGTAATGTATGCCCGCGGGCCTCTTGCCTAAGCACTCCCTAGGTGCCTTCCCCTTCCCCCCTTGGGAACAAATGAAACAAAATAACACAAACTGGTTCACAACAAAACCTGAGAAAAACTCAGGACATTAAAGAAACTCTCTGATCAACAAACTAACACAAAACATTACAATCAGCTCTCACAGCAACAACTACACAGTACATACCAAATGTCTTAGCAACAACCAACATGCTATAACTCTCAGCCATTAGCCCTCTCTCTCATCTCTGGTCCCCCCCCCCCCCCCCCCCCCCCCCCTTCTGAGCAACAGAACTGGGGCTTATATAGCTTCAGAAGGAGTTGGTAATTGGAGACAGCTGCGTCCTGACGAGGGCGCAGGGTCAGCTCTCCAATCATCAATGTTCATTGACCAATCAGCTGCTTGTTGGGGAATTTCAGGAACCCATTTCCTGAAATACATACATAAAAATACACAACCCACAACACAGAAACTGGGGAACGTAACACCTTCCATTGGCAACGTAGAATAAACATCAGCATGTCAGAGTTGATTGTGTCCCTAAAGTGATGCTTCAAAATGTCAAAAACCAGTCTAGGGCCCTGGCTTAAGTCAACTGGGTTACTGCGTAGGCTTACTCTGACCATATCCCGTGCCCGACCAGTCCGCTTGCCCAAATCTTAATCTGACCTCTCCTGCCAACTATAGCCCTTATTCTGCATGTACGCTAACATGAACTCCTCCAACTCATGCACTGTGCATTCTTCTGAACCATCCCCCCTAAAACACACTGGTTCCCTGACATCATTTTTCACCACTACAATTAGACTAGAGCTGTCCCCAACCTTGGTACCACCAACATTATCATCCTTCTGAAGTCCCACCCCATTTCCCATAGCCTTTGATTCCAAACAAGAGGCAATATTTTCACCACTACCTATGGAGTGACCTATCTGCTTAACAATGCCCGCCAGGAAATCCATAGACACATCCCCATTCCTAGGACTAGGTGAAACTGGCTCGAATGCAGTGAGTTGAGGTA